GTGCTGGTGGTTTTTTTGTAATGAGTTTTTTAACCCACGTTTTCTTAAAAACATTTATCTTTTTCTTAGCCGCAAAATTACTGAAAGCAATCATCACAAACTTCATAACTTTTGCCAATTTTTTATTCATATCCCCAATTGATTCAACATCTTTACAGAATTGCGAAAGTCGAAACAAGATTTGACATTGTTGTCATTATTTGTAAATTTTGAAAACCCATGATTCAATTAAAATCGTTTTGGGATGGCAATCCACAAAGATGTTTCAATTGGAAGTCCGGAATGATGCTGATTGCTGATTCAAGAGTCATTGTCTGGATATGCAATAGCGAATAGATGTTCTGCTTGAAGCTTTTATCCTAGTCTTAGCGCTGTTAGTGATACAAAAACCAAATGATTCAATAGTTTTGTATTCCCTTTGTTTTTGCTATCATGCACAAAATGGAAATTAAAATCACCAACTTAAATGGATCATTGCGAGCGTGAAATTTGTTTGTCTAGAGGCTTTCGCATCGCTCAGAAGAAAAATTCACGTTAAGACTTTGTGTTTTATTAGCAACAGTTTTTACCTGGCTAAAATTGTTGTTTCGGTTTTTGCTGACTCAATCTGGCTTCATAATTCAGTTCTTGAGATTCATTTCTTACGGCAATATTTGAATAGACTGGTGAAAAGTATGACTCAACATCATCGTTATCGGTCAGCCAGGTTTCACAGAGCGCAATTACAATTATTTTCACCTTTAAACTTTCTGTTAAACAAGTTAAATTGGCGTGATGGCATCATCATAAAGACTGCACGTTCAAAGATTTTATGCATCCTTTGCTTAAGCTTGCGATTAGCAAGCGTTATCAAATCGGAATGTAGACTTTTTCCGGGTTAACAACTAGTTTAACAAAATCAGTTGAATCGCTTATAATGCTGCTATCACTTATGATGCTGATGCTGCTTTGCTGAATTTCTCAGTTTCATGAAAATTCAAATTTAATTACTGGGTTTGTACTTGTTTTCAGGGCAGTTTTAGGGGGTCTTGAAACTTTCAAGTTTTTCACAAAATCAGTTTTTTTTTCGGCTTAACTGTATGCTCAAAGATTGTCGGAATTGTTTCCGCTTCATAAGTTTTTTTTATTTGCGTTTGTGAATTTGAAAGGTCTTGATTAGCATCTTTGCCTTGTTCCAGTTTGATAAAAAACGGGTATTTTAAAAAAGTATGAGATTGATTTTTTCTAGCTTACTTCTTTTGAGACGCTTTTGAAAATTTTATCACTTTTCGCAAAAAATTTAGTTTTATTTTCTCAAAAGTTTTTCTACCGATTTTCAAAAAGGGATATCGATAGAAAGACCGTCTTCATTCTTGTGTGCCTGCATACTCCGCTGATTCCTTTTCGCTTTATCCCTTTGTCTACAGCCTTCGAAATAGTCTCTTGGGGGAATATTTGACCGATTTTTTTTGTCATTTTCTCAGGAAATAATCAACCAAAGCTCACACAGTGGTTTCAAGCAATAGAACGGACTTGAAAAGTTCTCCTTCACAAGCAGCTATGACCAAACTTTTTTATGCATAAAACTATGTCCTTCGGAATAGTCATTTTTTTGATTTTTTTTACCTTGTTTTCTTTTTTTTTGTTCTTTTTCACTTTTTTCGAGAACTACCTGCAAAACTTGAGGTTATGGGTTCAACGGAGATAACGGTTAGTGGAGAGCTCCCTTACATTAGCGGCCCTTCACAATTTTCTCACACAAAACGTTATCGTCCTCGGAAACGTCAATTTTTCGAGCGTTTTTTTTCTAAATGTTATGATTTTTACCGAAAAATACCCTCCCATAAGTGAGATTTTGGGTTCCACCCAAAAATGGACTGTATAAAGCTCCTTTGCACACGCGGTTGCCCCCAAAAATTTTTAACACATAAGTTTTTGGCTCCAGGAAAAATCACATTTTTGATTTTTTTTCACCATTCTTTTTTATAACTTTTTGACATTTCTCGAGAACTATCCAGCCAAAATTGGGTTTTTGGGTTCAATCGAAATAACAGATTCGGTGAAGCTCTTTTACATAAGCGGCTACGCACAAATTTTTTAAAACAAAAAGCTATGATTTTCTGAAATGTCAACTTTTTGATTTGTTGACCGGTTTTTGGACTTTTCTCTAATTATTCTTCCAAATCTGATATCATAGGTTAAATTGACACAGCAGCTTGCTGGAGGCTTGCTTTTATAATTTGCTACGCCCAGTTTCTTCTAGAAAAAAGTTATGGCTTTCAAACAATTGAATTCTCAGCTTTAAAATTCCAGGTTTCTCAGAGCGCAATGACAATTAGTTTCATTTTTAAGCTTTTTATTAAACAAATTAAATTGGCGTGATGGTTGATGGTAAAGACTGCATGTTCAAAAATTTTAGGTATCCATTGTTCAAATATCCATCTTTCTTTCTACACGGAGTTCCCCATTTAAAATTTCATATCAAGAAGGAACGGAAAAAGATGTTTGTTTGCTCTTATATAAGCTGAGTAGTCTGTTGGGGCATGTTCATAGATCCTAAAATGAAAAATCAGTTTCAAATTCTCAAAATAAAAAAGATGTCGCGTAAATCCCAAATCTTTTCAATTGGACAACGATTACTTTTAAGCCTACTCTGGATTTAAGGTCGCCAGTGGGCGTGCTACGCAATGAATATTTGGCGTTAGTTATCTTAAAGAGTCGTACCCGGAAATACGCTGCATTTTCCTAGCGCATTGGTCTCTTTTCTGCTGCTGGATTTCATCCTGTTTTAGTTAGCTTAATTCCACACCAATCAGAATTCAATGAGTACAGTTTTGGGAATTTTTTTATTTGGGTCCATTGAACATTGGGACTTACAGGAATTCACCAGCTTGTTTAGCCAACTAAGAGAAATTTGTTGCATGTTCTTGTTAACACACCGTACATCATGCAAAATTGTCCAGGTATCTTTTCAGTTATAGCTTTTGCTTGCTTCCTCAAAACTGACTGCAGTGAACTTCGCTGATATGAAAACAATAGAAAGAATACGTTCGCCTTATTCATCTGGAGATATCTTAAGACGTTTCAGAACAGACTGGATACTCTGAGCGTTGAATTTCTGTTTCCTCTGTTGCTTAATAATGGGGAATGTTCCTTCCAAGGTTTGAATAAGTAAAGTTTTGCTCGATAGCTACGGTGGATTTGAAGTTCACGATTAGTGCATAGAAAAATGATGCCCGTTCATTTTGATAGCAACTCTCTTACGACAATCGATTTAAATTTATCGTTTTCTTCATTGATAATTTTCACGTGACAGTTGAGGCTTCTCGTTCTTAAGCCAATTTCATCAGTTTATTGTTTGATTTTTTATCTACAGGAGCAATACGTTCTTTTAAGGTGATGGCCCTCCCTGTTTTTAAGAGATGTTTTCGTAGAGGCAAGCCGCAATTTTTTGTTATAGATCTCGTTTGTTCCCTCAAAATATAAGGACTTTACCATAAAGGCCGATGGATAATTATATTTTTCGAGGGCGCAAGAAAGTGGCAAGCTTTGAAAATATTAGGTGACATTTTGTATCGCAATTTTTTTAAAGTACAAACTTGAACTCATAGGTAATTCGTTGTTTCGCTGGGAAATTTTATAAATAGACAATCCTTTGATACATACCTTTCTTGTGATCTTACCTTTAGCTGCAACTCCTTCAAGTGATTCAAGTGTTTCTCCAATTGTAGAGTTATAGCATCCTTTTGAATTGGTAAACACGTTGCTCGAATAATAATGTAATATTCAAATCGGTATCTTTTTCAAGGAAATTTGGAATATTTTACCGCATAATTTTTTAATTCGGGAACTGGCAATTATTTCCTCGGGTCTCATTTCCAGTGTTTAAGAGTCGTTGAACGTAGTTCAGACTCTTGTATTGGTCTCATGATTTTTTTCAGCAAAAGTGTAAATTTGCAAAAAACGTGATTGACTGATAGTTTCGAAAGGGTAATTTCATTTTCAGATTTCCCAGCGACATAAAAAATTTACTTTTTGGTCCAGTTTTCTCAAATTGGGTTTACTTTATCAAAAAAATCAATCGTAAATTGTTTTAGAAATCCAAAGAGGCAGGAGCGGATCTAGGATTTTCTTGAGGGGGGGGGGGGGCGGATTTTCAAAAAATGTTAGAAATTTTGTCGATCTTTTTTTTAGGTCGACCAAATGGATTTTCCGAGCTCTCCCAAAGCATTAAAAAGAACTTGTTTCGGTCAAATTTTCTGCGCTGCTGTCAAAATTTTTTTAAAAAAACAGGCCAAAAAAGGCCGTTTTAGGCACTTGCAAAATTTTGACCAAAAATAGCGCTTTTTCGGCGCGCGCTGCCCCCTCAAAATTAGTTATTGGCGCCAAGGCGCTTTTAGAAAAATTTTCGGGTCTATCACCAAATATGGATTTCTCAAAATAGTACAAAGAGGGGGACCCTTTGGGTCGGGGGGGGGGGGGTATGGATTCGAATCCCTGAGGGGGGCGTCCGCCGCTGCAAAGAGCTTTAAAAGAGCTTTTTCTTTGCAAGTCGCTGTCAGTGTTTTTTTCTGTTTAGTTGCCTTCATTGACTCTTTTCCAATATCTGTTGGCTAAGTTTGTAGCTATAACTTAGTTATTTGTGGAGCGGTTTTATTAAACGAAGAATTTAGTTCTCCGATGAGAAAAGAGCAACGCACTTTTAGATTTTGTTAGCATGCCAGAAATCTTTTGCAAGTGAGTCATAGCTTAAGGAATGTTGGTTATATGCGCTCTTCTTGTCAGTCTAAATAATAAACCTCGGGTAGGCCTCCAGGTTGGTTGACTAAAAAATACTAGTCATGTTGGGAAAAATTTGTTGGTATCTTCCAATCTTAAAATGTTAATTGTATCTACAGTTATTTTCAATTTGATTCAAAACATGAGACTTTTTTTGGAAATTCTAGCAGCTCGATTTTTGTATATACCATTTTTGTTGCTGAGATTGTCTTGATTTTGAAATATTCAACGATATTTTTCAGTTTTTAATTTGTTTGTGGTTCTATCATGTCTGCCTTTGAAGAAGACGATGCCTTAGATGAAGAACTGATGCGTGCTTTTGCGTCTTACGAAGATGAAAACCCTGATCATATTCAATCTGTTGAGAGCAATTCTCTCTCTCAAAACCAAAATGAGCCTCCAAGTTTTGAATCCGACGACGAACCATTGATAGAGCTCAATGAAAATACGCCTTCGCACAAAGCTACGACCAGTCCTAGAGACCAGCCGGCGAGCTCAAAACCAGATCTAGCGAAGCAAAAATTGGAGGAGAAAAAAGCAAGGGTTCTGGCTAACATTCGTAAGCAGGAGAGCCAAGGTTCCTCACAGTTCTCGGATAAGTTCTCAGGACCGAAGTATTACGACGTGCATTCACATTTCACTCTTGGAAACCCAAAAATCCCCCAAGATGAACTGAAAGTGAAGATGAGCGGCAAACAGAACATTAGGCTGAGTGCACTCAAGGACAAAATCAGGAGCCATGCTTTATCCGATATCAACTATGTGGTGTTTGGTGTCATATCTAAAAGGTAATTTAATTGGTTATGACATCCGTCAGAACTCTGGTACGTTAGTTGATGTAGATTTTCAGTTCGTTTAAGAATTTTCTGTTCGTTTAACTAGCCGTAGCTTAGTGAGATGTCGAGAATGGTGTAAATGACCTCGCTCATGCGTTTATAACTTTTTAAAAAGGTTCCATCTAATGGCTACTTTTTGGAAGTTGCTCGCTGTAAAGTGTGTTAACAGGCGTCAATTGCCTTACACATGTTAACAAAATACAGCAGATTTTATCGCTTCTTCAAGATTTTACCCGAGATTGTAATTCTGAAAGTCGGCACTTCGCCAAATATCTTAAGGCGAACGTGCACTTTTATATCCCTTCAACAAATCAAATTATTTCAAAAATTTGGGCTAATTTATTTTTTGTCTGAACACCTCATTGAGAAAGTTAACGCGTACTATTAGACACGCATGCTTGTCACTCCCCCTCTGCGAGTATATCAGGACAGTTACGAACCAAATTTATGTCTCATTTAACGAACCAAATATTGTGTCTCAGTACTTGTTCAGTCCCCTGCGACTTGCGAATAACGTGAATGAAAATATGAGCTCGGTGTGTGTTTTATCCAGCCAATTTTCGGCTCTTTTCCAGTTCCCCCCCTTTCAAAATACCGAGTTTTATCTCTGTTTTACGTGTTATTACGGCTAAATGCGTAATGTTACGCTGTAAAGTATGAAGAACAAATCTGTTCAGAATTGTCGATTTGTTCACCACGCCAAATTTCATTGCATTATGACATCGTTAAATAGACTTTTCAAATTTGAATTTGAAAGGGGGGGGGGGGGGGGGGGGGAACTGGAAAAGAGCCCAATTTTCAACTAGTCATATTTTGTACAGAATTCTTTCTACCATCTGAAGATGCTGGTGTCCTGGGCTCAAAATAAAAATATATATATTTTTAAAATTGCGATCGTTTTTCCTTACAACGTGGGGTTCGAAAATTGCTACAGTGGTCAATTTGTGAAGAGCGATATAACGCGTCTTTGAAACGAACAAGGGAGTCGGAACATTCAGGGCGTTGCCTTGATTCGAGTAGTCTTTTTTTTCGGTTTGTTACCCTGGGTATTGCAACCATGGCAATAGACTTTTTTTTCCAGTGAACTTAGGTCAATTTAGAAGCAATGGTAAACTTGCTCAAGGATTTGAATGTTAATACACCTACCATCATTTAGGTTAGTTAGTAATTAGATGGAGTTCGTTTCAGGCAGTCAGTCTGTTTTTCAAATAAATTTTTTGAAAGAGTTCAAATTTTCGGATTCGTAATTTTTGACCCAGTTTTCGTCGGTTCATTTTCAGTTTTTTTAAATGCTACTTATCTGCTACTTATTTAAATGCTACTTTATATTATATGGTGAAGTTTTTTTGCTAAAATTCCAAAATGTGGTTTTTTTTGATCTAAACAGTTTTTACTATAATTGAAACTTCTGTAATTTGTAAATTTACTCTAAGTCTGATTTTGAATAATTTCATTTTGTTCTTTTTCGTTTTTTTTGCATTAAAGGTGAGTAGCTTCTAATTTAGCGGCTTAGCCGACTTATTTTTAATTTTTAATGACAACAGTTTTGTTTTCAGCGCAACGGGTCGGCTCGAGCTTTTTCGCTTTAGTTGGCGCTCGGTTTGAAATTCCTGATAATTTTTACGGATGTTTATCAAGATCATCCAATGCAAACATGAAGTTTTTGTAATTGTAGTTCTTCGAATTTTCATGTTACTTTTTAAGTAGTTTTTCCAAACTTGCTTCAAAAAATCGACTCTCGTCTCTTTTTTTATTCGCTATGTTGTAAAGCAATGTTTTTGAGGCTTCGCCTCCGCGTTCAATTATTTCAAGAGCTAGGCAACTTGTGCTTGCGAATTATAAGACCAATGATTGTAATATGGTTCTTGATGAAGTATGAGGATTTGGTTACATGACAAAAATTCCACTAGCTTAGTATCTCAGATCACAGTTAGTGATGACAGAATTAATGCAAAATCTAAAGCTTTTATTTACACGCATGCTATCAGTATATTAATTCCTAAATTTAATTTTTTAAATTTGTTGGTCTGATATTTGCGTTGTTCATAGATAGCGCTAACCTGATAGCACTTTGATAATATACTTTGCTCATAAGTCGTATGATATTTTTCATGGCATGGGGTCTTCTAGCATGGTTGATTTTAGTACGTAGGATGTTTTGGAATTGCTATCTTCTAGGTACCAGCCGAAGCAAGGGAACAATGGCAGGTCCTGGTGCACTTTCCTAGTGTCTGATCTCCAGTACTGCTCTCTAAGACTGACTGTGTTCCATGGAGACCACGTGCATCTCTACAGGGAGGGAGAAGGTATGATAGATTGAATAAAAATTTTGAACGTTTTTATTAGTCACTGTTGATCTTGCGAGAGCTTGACAGACAGTTGTAAATTATGTTCTGCTCTTTTATTACGTTCCGACCGAGGGAAATTTGTGGAAAAGTTCACATTTTTTTATGTTAGGACGGCGGTGTAGTAAGCAAACTTGTAGCAAATTTCAGGAAAGGTTTCAATGTACGGAAAATCAGATGCCGTACCTAATCATCGCACAAGGACGAGCAGTATCCCAAATTTGAAAAAAAACGCCGGAAACGCAGTGGACGACTTCTCTCGGATGTTATTTTTGAAACCTGTTCGATCAATCCCTCTAAAGAGAACCTCTAAAGATTTCTATTGAACTTTTTTGAAGATTTTTTGCAGCAAATGTATCTGTGATCGGAATACTGCGCTAATTGCACACCAACTGACGTTTCTTTTATTGTTTGAGCGTTAAATTTGGTTCGCTACTTCATAAATACCTTTCATTATATTTGAGAGCTCACGTCAGACTTGAATTCATAATTCATCTGTGTCAATGTGTGAGCAGCTTGTACAGTGCTGACTTAAATTAACCGGACTAAACGAACAAATTTGAAATTTCAAACGCGTTTCTAGCAAATTGGGTTAAGATTAGACAAAAAGTGAAGAGAACAAAAGTTGCTTAGAGTTTCACAAAAATTAATACGATGCAATTTGTCAACCATAAGACATGCATAAACCTGTACAAAAGAAAATATTTTTGCTTGATAGTCAATAAATGTGATTTTTACCATATAAAACTCATAATCTTTGGTTAGAAACAAACTTTAAACAATTTGTGCAATTTTTTTTCGAGATTTAACCCTTTAAGGTTGGGCTTCTTTTGATATAATTTTCTCATCAATTAACAAAGTATTTTCAGCGTAATTCTTGATTAATTAAAAAAAGCCAAAATGATCCATTTTGGGCTAAATGTCTGTTTGAGAATTTCGGAGAATAAAGTTAATCAAATTAACCCAAATTGAGAAAAATGCGTTTGAAAGTTCAAGTTTTGTCCGGATAATTTAAATCTCACTGTATTGTAAAGAAGGGAGCGAATGTTGTTTAAATTTGAGTCAAGCCGAGATCATCCCCACGCAAAACAAGACTGCTCGTATCAGGCGAAGCCTTTTAAGGTCTATGGACCCGTAATAACATAATTAAATTAAATGAAATAAAATAAGATGATTTTTTATTTCGAGATTTTTTGTGAAAATCATCTCCCCACACGCCATATGAAGTACAAAGTGATAGATTTCGCTCCTACTAACAAGATTATGGCAACTAAGTTTCCTTCAACCAATTTGGAATGATTTCTAAGACGGATTAAATCTCCGCTTACGCGTTAATAGCGCAAAATATATCGCGTTAATTGCCCTAATTTGTCTGAAGAAAAAACTCACCCCGAGCACAAATGTTTCGTTACCATTCGTTAACTTTCGGGAACAATAATCCCAGATAGAAAATTGCCTACAATCATCCCGGTCATAATCTTCCAAAGCTTAGTCAAAATCATCCTAAGAATTTACAGCTTAATTATACAACCGCATTGCTGTCAAAATCGGTCGACATTCAAAGATTAAAGCAAAAATCAAAGCCTTGGTCATATGCAACTTTTTGTTCCGACTTTCGTAAAAACAGCAACAGAATATTTGTGTTCTGGGTGGGTTTTTTCTGCAGACAATTTTCGACTTTTTAACTAGCCATTTTGACGTAATTTTTAAATTTCATTCAAAAAGTACTGTTGTCCTGAGCTTGAAAAGATATTTCACCTGTGATTTTTTGTAAAGTTATGCGGGTTTAAAGATTTTTATTTTGGCCAAGTTGGGACAGTTGACGCGCAATATATTTTGCGCTATAAACGGAGATTTAATCCGTCTTAGAAATCGTTCCAAATTGGTTAAAGGAAGCTTATTTGCCATAATTGATTCGGAGCGAAATTTATCACTTTGTACTTTACTTGGCATCGAGGGGGGGGGGGGGGGGGGTGTACGATTCTTTAAAAAAAAATCTCAAATTTTGAAAAAAAAATTGGTTCATTCAATTTTTTTACATTTAGTTTTTTTTTGTGTTATTACCGCTCAATAAACTGATGCGAGCAGTCTGGTCAATTCTTTGATTTACTTTGAAAGTTTTTAATTGTGCCGCCTTTGGAACTGTTTAATCTATTTAGTCATTTTTCAATTTTTTAACTAAGCAGTTTTGACTGGATTCTTATACCATCTGGAAGATTTTATTGTCCTGAGCTCAAATTTAAAAAGATATTCTACGTGTGTTCTTTTTTCCTAAGGTTACGGGTATTTGAAAATTGCTAATTTGGTCGATTTGGGATAATTAACGGGCCATATAATGCGTTCGCTGCGAATTGCGTTCTAATTTGAATTGAGGCCAGCGATTCAGTCCTTTGAAATGATTAGAGACTCATAACCTGCATTTTGTATTTTACATTGCATGTGGGGAATAAAATGAGAAAAAAAAGGAAAAATATTTTTTATTAATTGGTAAAATATTCAACCAAAGTTTTTTTATTAGCCTTAACGTGCAGTCGGAACATTCAGGTCCTCACGCTGTTATACTAGCAGTGTTGTTGTAATACATATGCTCATGGTGATTTTTATTCAAACCAATTTTACAATATTCTGATCCCTCTGGGACTTGATCTTTCAATCTGCATGGGCCGAGCCGGGTGTGCACTCCACTATAGAAGCATGCCGCAGGTCTTTCTAAACTGGTCGTTTTACAATTTACACGCGTTGCCAATTATCCCGCACTACAAAATCGCTCCATTTTGAAATGAGACAGCTAATTGGTTTTAATAAGTCCTTATACGACTCAAGTTCTTACACTTAAGTTTTAATATGATAAGATTAAAATTCATAGTTTGGACAATCCTTAATTTACCAAAAGGTATTTGAGCAGTCTGGCATCTCATGAACAATCTGTCAATTTTGAACTATTGTTGCCAGAAATCTTAAACTTTCAAGGGGCCTTGAAACATCATTTTTGTCTGGAAAACAAGCCTTAATCTGCAAAAAATTTTCCTATAGGTATTTTTGCTTTTTCAATTAAATCTTTTTGTACCATTTTTTTGCTTTTTGTTTTATTGCAATGTCTTCGATAGATTTTGCTTTGGTTTGAAAGATTATGTTGTAGATGTTTTTTGGGATTTTTTTGGATGATTTAGCTCGAGTTGATTTTTATCTGGGATGATTTTATCTGTGATAGTTTTGTCTGTCCAATTAGAGTTGAAAGTCCGGTTCCATGACATTCTACCCTTTTTCGATCTGCCCGACAAGCCAGGATGTCGAGTCCACCACTTGAATGCGGCGTCGTCTGGACCCCTGCCCTATGCTAATCTACCCGATACTATCTTATCCTATGTTCCAAGTTACCATTTGCCAGTCTACCCTATCCCTATGCCAGTCTACCCTATTCTTATGCCAGTCTACCCAATAATTAAAACAATTGAAACTTTGGGACAGGGGCGAGTGAAAAAAAAAACAATTTCCTTTGATATTGGCATCTATCGCCTTTAAAATATCAGCTTCGACTACGAGAACCGCAAAAAGTGTTTTTCTAGAAATTCAGTTGAATTCCTGAAAGTTTCAAAAAAACTTAATAAATAAGCAAACTAATGAATGACTTAATTGCGCGAGAGAATATGAATATGCTAAAGTAGAATCTTCTTTTAAGTTTTTGCAAATTCATCTCTTTTTCTCATTCAATTCCCTGTATTTTTTTGCGGTCGGGGTTGCTGTTTCCCCCACTGTTTTCAGTGTATCGAGGTTTTGATTTGCAGTAATTGATTTGATTTGCTTCAGAAAGCTGGTTTCTTTCGAAGAGTAGCAACGGTCAGACGCCACACTTATACGGCATTTGTTATGCTGAGTACACCAGCAGCTGCTTCTGCGGAATGATTTCAAAGGTTAACTGGAAATTCGATGGGTTCGCCTTTGATGGAGGAACAGCGTTAGAAGTATGGGGCTACCTCATTCAGTTTTTTCTTGATAAAGTCAGATATTTTTTCGATCTCGTCAATAACCATTTTGAAAGCGGCAGTAACCATTGCAGCTGGTACAAACAGTCGTTTTATTCCCACTTCGTTTATTTTCCGGTTGAACGCTTGACATATGTGCAATTAACACCCTTTAAGCAAAGCTTCGGTGTTATGACTAGCGAAGTCATTAAGAACTGCACGTTCAAAACCGAAGAAAATGGGGTGAGGTTCGGTGTTTTTGGTGATGGCTGATAAGCCCTTCAGTAGTCTTTTGTATGTTCTCTTTTGTTTGGCAACTGCATGAATACAGGGGGTAAAATCCGGCTAGTTGAATGTGGACGGTGTAAATTTAATCGAACTGATTGGGGGCAAACTTTGAATGTTCTGTCACAACAGTCGGATGTGATATCAGATTCTGGAGATTGTTGCGATCTCCAAAAATCAGCACTCTTTCCGGATCTTGAATTCCACTATCGAAGACGCAAAAATGTCCTGTTGCTTCGGTATCTCAAAATGTCTGCCGACAATTGTAAGCTCTGTGGGTCTCTCAATTAACTTCAGTTGACTGAGACCTGGATTAATCACCGACCGACAAGGCAGAGCTAACTGAATGGCTTTTTTTCAAACTCAGACTGCAAGCAGTTCGCTACAGTACTGCTATTGACTGGTACTTGCTGAATTTTTGCTTGGTTTTGTTTTCTACTCGAGAAGCCTTGCATCTGAACGACCACGAAATACTTCATTAGTGTGTTCGTTTCTAGAGGAAAGAAGACGTTTTTCTCGGGTTGTTGCTGTCGTTTTGCGTTGGCACCCCCACCTTGAGCACTTCCTTGAATGTTTCCATTCTTTGTTTCCTGTTTCTTGGTAAACTCGTGGCCGTCAGTTAAAATTGCTCCCTGATTATGTTGGGATAGACCCCAAGAAGTTTGACTCATTTTGGATAGTGGTTTTTCGGAAAAAAAATAACACAATGAGTTAGTTTCCGTTTCATTTTTGTAAGTGATTTTGAAATTGGGAATTAAAACCTGTCAATTGAGTCTAAAACTGCGATTTAGTTTTTGAACAATTTGCTTAAGTGAAAGACTAAATTTAAATCTAAAAACTAGGTCTCGAATGAATTATTACGTGCTGCGATCATTCCGATTCTAATTAGCTTTTTGTAAGACAACACTAGTGCGACAAATCGACACAAGGAAGATTGTTATGTTTGGCATATTAGTATAGGGTAGATTGTATTGATTAGATAGCTATGTAGGGTATAATGTCTTAGGGTAGAATTTTATTGGGTGGTGTCAGTGTGGAGACTAGTAGATTGTCCTGCCTCCGAAAGTCCACACTAAGATGATTGAATGGCTAATTGCGCGCTACTTTAGTATTGTAGACTCACGCTAATTATCGAGTTCCCACATATGATGAAGTGCGGTGGCAAATCTTAATTTGGTCAATTTAGATAATTGGATGTCACTTGTCCATTAATCACTCGTCCATTAATTCATTTACAGGAGTAGTCGTTGGTGTATTGAATCCGAATGTGAAGCTCGAAGATGAACCAGTTCTAAGTGTTAGTGACCCCAGATGTATCCTGGTGTTGGGAAGGTGTCTGGAGTATGGCATATGCCAAGCCACCACTCAGAAAACGGGCCAGAGGTGTCAGATGCCAATCAACAGGAAGATGGGAGACTTCTGCGAGTTCCATATCACCAAGGCATACAGGTCAGTCCTGTCAGCTCAATAGTTGACACAATTTTCGGAACTTTTAACATCCTCTGGTGTTCAGACGAAGTAAATGGATGAAACTATGGTGGAGCCTATTGTGGTTTTTTCCAGCCAATTTTTCCAACCCTTGAGAAAGTACATAGAGGGTGAAGTGTGGTACCACATTGAAGCACTATCTGTCTTGATTCAGATTCTTTAATTTCAAAAATGTTGAAGTGTCGAGATCAAATGGTGTACACGACTTTTCAGACAATATCACATAATATCTGATGAGAGTATTAGACTTGGTCGTCAGTTAATTCTACTGCCAGTTTTAGGTTGTTTTAGTATTTTTAAACTTGTTCTAGCATATTACTTGAATAATAATTGTTTGAACATTCTGTGATACTTGCATTGTAAACGTATTTTTGTTGCGGCCGGTCTTAATTTGAGTTTGATATAGAAAAGATCGTGATTTTGAACTGGGTGATTGAATGAAATCATGAGTTTGTTCCCAGACAGTCGAAGTCGAGAAGAAGTCAACTTCAGGCTGCAGTTCCAGTTGAGCCCCAGAAGGAGCGAGAGAGGAGGGCGAAGATGATAGAGAGCAACCAGAACAAGTTCCTCATCTACAATGGCAAACAGCGCCTCTACGAGAACAATCCCCACCAGAACATCAATAGCAGATCAACCAAAACCAGAGCCACTATGTCCCCCTATACTGTGTCAGTCAATCAAAATCCAGGTAGGAGCTTGTTGGCTTGGCGAGGGGGGTGGGGGTGGTGTGTTTTTTTTTATTGAGTTCAAAGTTTTTTCTGGCAATTTAGGAGTTACTTAGGATATTAGACTAACTAGAGTGTGGTATAGTTTTACAACCGTTTTAGTCTTTATTAAGATTCTCAGCGATATGCTTTAAATTTTTTTTCTTGGTTTGTATTTTTTGTTTTAAGCTTTTTTTTTTCAAATTTAAAGAATTTAATTAGGTAATCTGTGTTATGAAATATACTTAATTTAGAAAACCCAATGCCATCCTTGAAATTGACTGCAATTGTTTTATAATAGGTCAAAGGTCATCTGGCTCAGTGGCGAGCGGTATCCAGACTGCAGCAAGAGATCTAGATATAAGTCAAGAGAATTCAAATTTATTAAACCCCGAAGGCCCAAGCGTATCTTTCGAAGATCTTCTGAAAAGACCCACGCTCGGTGCTTTGAATTTGAAACGCAGTCAAGTGGAAGGAGATACTGAAAGTGCAATAGCCCCTTGGTCTGTCAAAAAGCGGCCTGCTCCTGAATCTGTTTCAGCCAGAGATCTGATCAACCAGCACAAGGTTAAAGTCAAGAGCCAATCGGAACCCCCCAAGGTCAAAGACATTGTAATTGATTTGGGAGGTCAGTCGGCATCCAACAACAAAAACTTATCAGCGAGGCCAAGAAACGATGTTTTGCACACTCCTAGTGATTCTGTGAAAAAAGTATCGAAAGTGTTGACTTTGAGTGAGTTGAAAAGGATGAAAGCAGTGGCTAAAGTGTCATCGCCGCTTTCGAGTCATTCGGCGTCGACTAGCAGAAGAAAAGAGGAAATAATGAAGCTAGTGAATGCCAATCGGATGCAAAGTGATGAACAGAAATTGAATTGTGAAGACAATGGTCGCGTTAGCAGTTTGGAAGAGTGCATGATGCCGAAGAGCAAAAAGCAGAAAACCAGCAATAGTCGGTCTGAAAAAGAGAATTTGATTGAAAGGTAGGCTGATAAATTTACTTTTAATCTCCGGGATTGACCTTAGTTTTCGTGTTTGTTTTTGTCACACGGTAGCTATGTTGTCTCAATTACTAAGCAGGATATTCGAATAAACTCTGAGCCAATTATGATCAATATCTATTGCTTCATAATCATAGCTTGTCCTTATACCTGAGAGAAAGTGTTAGCTAGAGCTAATCTGAACACAGTAAATATTCCGTATTTTTATTTCGACTTTCGTGACGAAAGTAACGGAATATTTATGCTCGGGGTAATGGAGTATTGATCCGTCTGAGAAATCGTTCTAAATTAGTTGAAGGAAGCATATTTGCCATAATTGATTTGTTACTAGGAGCCAACTCTATCTTTTTGTACTTTATATGGCGTGTGGGGGGATGATTTTCCTTAAAAAATCTCAAATTTAAAAAAAGTCATTTTATTTTATTACATTTAATTTTTTCATGTTATTACTGCTCCATAAACCTTAAAAGGCAGTCGGAACATCCAGGGCTTCGCACTGATACGATCAGTCTTGTTTGAAATATCAAATCAAATGTATTAAGGGAAACTCGGGGAAAAGGTGTAGCACAGAGAATCAATTTAAGGCGGAGTTTTTGTATTACAGATTGGGAAACTTAGTATGCTGACGTTTCTCTACAGTTTCCCCTTTGTACTATTTTGAAATATCCATTTTTGGCTGACTGACCCTAAAACTTTTCAAAGGCACCTTGGGCGCCTCTATATACTAATTTTGAGGGGGGAGCGCGCGCCGAAAAAATTCGATTTTTTGGTTAAAAAAGTTTCCAAAAAGAGCCTCAAAACGCATTTTTGGACATTTTTTTCAAAATTTTGCCTGCGGCGCGGAAAGTTTGGCCAAAATAGGTTCTTCTTAGTGCTTCGGCAGAGCTTGGAAAATCAACTTAGTCGACCTAAAAAAAAAGTCGACAAAATTTTCGAATTTTTTTTTGAAAATCCGCCCCCTATCGAGAAAATTCTATATCCGTCCCTGTTATAAACTGTATCATAGTTTTTACTCAGTAGCATTTGTAAGCAGCAGTCACAGGATGCGAGAAAATTTAAACAAATAGAATTCTTGAAAATTTGAATCTTCAATTTTATTTATAAGTATTATTGTAAAGCGTTGGTGTAAAGCGTAATTGATGAGAGCGTTCAGTCGATAATTTTTAGCATTCGGGATTAAATGAGCCCATTTCGAAGCCGTTGACAGGTGAAATGTTTCCTTCCATGTTCATCTCTAGAGTACTGTAAGCGCCCTCTGAGGTTTCCACAATTTGTCCGAACCAGACCATTTCTTTCCTCGGCCGCAATGTTTTCTGCCACAATCTCTTGTTCAATATCTCATACATCTCCTTAACTTTGACGAGTCGATTTCACTTAGCTGAAATACTTCTAATTTCTCTAAGATTTCTTAGAAATAACGCTTATTATATCGATTCTTTTTGCGAGTTGAGATCAAAGCTTTTATTTAGATGGTCATTTAAAAAAAATCTCACTTAGACCAAATAGTGAAACAAACATATCACTAACAGAGGGAATGCTATCCTCATCTTTGATAATATGTTGCTGCTGACAGGATCGAGCGAGGGAAGACGAAATGCTTGCTATTTTTTTTGGATTTTTGATAATCCCCAATTCTTATCGCTTCCGATCGTGAGGTTCTAGTCATTTTCTCAATGTTTGCCACGTCATTTCTCCAATAAGCGATTTAATTAAATTAAATTAAGTTGCAAATTCCATTGGTCAATATCAATGACATTTACAGCAGTTTTTATTATCAATACACTTTTGTCCGCCTAGGACCGACGCTAGGCACAATTTCCTTAAAGTGTTGGCCCTAAATAAAAAGTAATTAATCAATCTAGTTCAAACTATATATTTAACAACAAAAAAATAGCAGCAGTTTTATATCTTCTTAAAGTTTTAATCAATTAATGTTTTCTAAATGAAATCTTTTTTGAGTTATCACAGGAAGTTCGAATAATGGGTTAAAAGACAATGCACAATAAATGTCTAAATCTACTATTTTTATTTTATATTTTGTTAATTTCCACCAAATGTAAAGAATAATATTGGGTAGAAAGAAAAAAATCTTTCTATTATTGATACTGCCGATAATCTAAAGGCAAAGTCATTCCTGGCACTTGGTCATCAGATCCCTTAAGGTGTTCATGCTTCTACTTACTGCAGTATGCTCCAATAAGCTCCGGTGGAGCTTATAAAGGGGCAGGGACCAAAACAACTAAGACGGAAAAAATCTTCTAGCAGCATCATCTCAGATCCGTTCATGCTGCTAGAAGATTTTTTTCCGAGACCAAATGTTATTTTACATTAGGTAGATTTTTTTTAAATGATGCAACACATCAACGCAGAAATCAAATGGGTTTATCAAGAATTTAGTTCATGCAGCTCTTGGTTATCTAGTTCAAAATTATCAAAAAACATTATGAACAATTTTGTTAAACTGGTACCTATTTTGGATGTCATCAACATTATCAAATGCATCTTCCTGAAAAAATGCACAATTTTGTCTACTTGGATTGAAGCATGTGTAGTTAATGCATGCACCCCTGAAGTGTTGAATCTTAGCTTCTCTAAATGATGATCGAAGATTTAGAAAATGCTTTTTTAAAATAGACAAATTGAGTTTATTAACTCCAGTTAATTGCTTAGTTATGATTTTTAAATAGCTCATATAAATGTAACTCAATCACAGTAGCAAACTTATTATCACCCATCTGTTTATAAACCTTTTCACAGCAACCTTCAAACAAGATGTTTCTGATAATTTTTTGTGGCATTTTGACAATTGGACTTAGTTTACGTTTAATAGTGCACCCATATATTAAACACCGTTATGAATGACGACTTTCATGAAAGAATTATAATAATTATAAAGATGTTTGCGCTGGAAAAGAGTTCTCATTCTGTACAATAAACTACAAAATCTTGAGAGCCTTTTCAAAACAAAATGCCTCTTCAAAACAAAATTTATATGAATCTCAAATGAAAGTCGGTTATCGACTAAAAACGCGAGATAGTGTACATCATTTACAGTTTCAATTTCTAGAATATTCAGCAAAAACTTCTTGCTCTTTAATGCATTACATCTTGGAAAAATTGATTTTTATTGTCTTTTCACTATTGAGTGTTAAATGATTTTTCGACATCCATTTTGTTACGGCGCATAAATCCATATTGAGGTGACCATTCACTGATTTTCCAATGATAGCTGTATCATCCGCTAAAAGTAGCTGGCTTTTTAATAACAGCGAGAGGCAATCCCCTTTTCCCGTATAGCTCAGGATTGCAAACAAAAAACTGGCAATTAACTATGTCAAAAGCTTTTTTTAAGATCAAAAAATACACCGTTCGGCTTTCTTTGTTCAAGAAGCTTATTTGAATTTTTTAGCACTTTGTGCGGTTGTATCAATAGGTGACATTCCCTTGCGAAACCGTTTTTTAATTCAAACTCTGTGTTTTCTATGGAAAAGTTCGATGTAATCTGTTGTAGAAGCCGTTCAAAAACCCTTGCCTTCTTAGTTTTAAGTAGCGATCTTGGTCTATAATTATTACTTTTATCTAAGTTGTCACCTTTCTGTAAAGTGCCACTACTTTAGCAACCTTAAAATTATAAGGATGAACACATTTTTCAATAAACATTACAAGTTTGGGCAATGTAGGGAAATAGAATGGGTTCAATTATTTTAAGAGTGTTGCTACATATACCATCTGGGCCACAAGAAAGCCTATGTTTCATGTGTTGCATGAAAGTAGATTTTTCTGGTGAACTTGTTGGCTCTAGCCAGAACGAATTGGTTCTAGCATTTGGTAAGGTTGGCTGGACTCTAATCAATTTGAACTGCAAGCGAAGCACTCACCGTTGAGAAAAAAATTGTTTAGTTTATTAGCATTTTCCTTGCTTTCGTCGATTTTATTATTCTGATTCTGATCGCAATATACTGTTTAAATAAGCTTAAGCTCTCGTTTTTTTATTTTCATCAATTTAGAACCATATTATTTTTTCTTGCTTTGCAAATAGCCTTGCTTGCTATGAAGCCTGATTCGTTTTAAAATTTCGCTCTGGAGACTATTGCATATCCATGGGTTAATTAAGTTTTTTTCTTATTATTTTAGGTTTTTGAGGGCGCAGATTTATCAAACATATCTTGAAATATTCACCATCTGGCAATTGTTCATATAAATCACCACAGACTTAAATAGCTCAAACTATTTATTAGTTCTAACAGAAACGCACTTTGCTTTTCAGGAAGCAAGAGATGGGATAATGATCTTTTCTTATACACTTGATGGTTTTCGGGCAAAGGAGTTTTCATATCTACTAAATTAGGATCATGATCTGATATATCCCAATGCAATAAATCTAATTTAATTTCACTATTACCTATTACTTGGTCAATAAAGGTAGGTGAAGATCTAGATTGCATTGTAATAAGGTTTGCGATATTATTTGAATACATATACGATTCGATCAAATCTATATACTGTATCGATTTATTGGACACTCGAATGACATCTATGCTAGATTCTTCTACCAATATAGGTTTTCTATTGCTCGGATATCTTTCTATTTTCGTTAGAAACTCGTTTTTTTTGTTTTTTTTTGGGTATTATAGTAGCAAAATCACCAATAAGAAGTGTTTTTTGAACTTTCCATCCATTTCAAACAAAAAGAACTTGAGGTTTTTTGGTAACGTAAAAGGCGACCCCGCCTCCCCTGCTTTCTCTTATTTTTATAACAACTGGAGGGTAGAATGTCTCAATATTGGAAGAGTACATTAAAACTCCCTCTCGCTTTGATAGCTTTAACTGAGACTTGGCTTCAAGATAGTGATGACTTACTTATAAATGCTTTCAGCTATAAATAGTGGTACCTAAGAGAACGAATATTCAAATATAAATTAAAAGACGGTTGAATTTCACTCAATTTCAGCAGTAAGAAAACTAGTAGGAGTTCAATTGATGTTCTGCTTTTTGTTTTCATTGGAGGTGTTTTTCGCCAGTTCATTTTCTAATATTTTCAATCTTTCTTTGTCCTTTGACTCTATTAGTCTTTTAAGGAACGACTTGTGTTTATCGTTTGCCATCTGCTTTGAAACATTCTTCGGTCTCTGTATTTTGAACTTTTGATATCTGGGAGCTCTTTTTCTTGCACGGTGTTTTAGATCTTGTAAGGTGACTGTTTTAGATGGGATGACATGCCTTGACGTCACAGGATTTCACCTTGATTTGTAGCAAATGTTGTTCAAATCAAACGGTGCATTTTTAAATATAATACAATCTTTCGAGCTGTAGCGCTTCTGTTCCGATAACCTTTCCTCTAAACTAAGCTCATCACTTCATTTTTCAACTTCACAGTTTCCTCAATTTGGTTGATGATAGCCTCGGTCTTTTGTTTCAAATCGTCGTCTATCAGCTTCGTGATTAAGTTTAACTGAGATGTCTCAGTCTGCAGATTTAACCTTCGTCATCATCTCTCGGACAATGTCAATATGCCCTTCTCCCATCTGAAACTATTTCTTAAGTTTATCACAACAATTAGGCTAATTTTACATCTGCTGCTCAATTAGTTGCTAAAACTGTCAACCAAGCAAAAGCGCTTGTCATTACAAGCAAGTTTTTTTCCTCTCCTATAACCAATGTTTGACGTGCGAATTTGTCAAAATCTCAACTTATTTGGAAATTTTACTCAGCATTGGAAATTGCATAGCATCTGTTGCCAATTTTTTTTAAAACTATTTTGAGGCTTATTTCTAATTTTTTATTGCTTTTTATAGAGCTGCTTTTTGTCGTGTTCTCGCAAGTGTTTGCGAAGCAAAGCTTCGCCTCTGTATCTAAATATTATTATCATTGTAAATAGCAGTTTTTTTGAACATTTTAAAAACAATAATCTGTTTCTGCATACAATTAAAATGAAATGTTCTAATTAAATTTTAAAGCAAGATGTTTGAAACTATCTGTGTCTAATGACGATTTTTCTGATTGAAAATATTTTTGTTAAGAGGTAAGATGATGAGGTAGGGTAACTTCCCGAATGGCATAATAACCAAATGGCATAAAAATGGAAACTTTTCCCAAATGGCATAAATTTCAAGTTTTCAGTGGAATTTATACGTTTTCTATCAATTTCTATTTCTATCATTTTGTCAGGAACGAAAGCATGTGAACAAGATTTGGAATTAATTGCTTCCAAACAAATTTAAGCAACAGATTTGTCGAAAAAAATTGACCACAAGAAGCTTATTAATAATCGCAAGCTTATGCTTCTTGCTTTTGATAAAAAGTTCTACAAGTTTTTCACGATGAAATGTCAATCAACATTGAATTGTCAATTTGACTAATTTTCTCACATTGTTCACAAAAAATTGTTCTCGATTTTTCCAAAGCAACTGTTGCATGAAATTTATGCCATTTGGGAAATTTTTCATTTTTATGCCATTTGAGACGTAATCATGAGGTAGTAGTGTCTGAGAGTAGTGTGTGGATTTTTCCTTACAAACTTTTACTGTTTCTGGGAAAGCTCACAAATGAAGTATCAGTCGCGATTTGAATTCCAAAAAGAAATTGCTGTGACGATAAAAGTGGTGTGAAAGTTTTGCTTCATTTTTTGACGATTCAGACTCAGTTCAACGATAAACAATTTTATTTTGATTGCATGCTGTTGAATAATATGCTGTAAAGTCATGCTATAATTTCTTGACTTATCATCACTCTTGAAAAAAAACTGAAAAAAAAATCGAAAAACAGAAAAAAGATTTCGAAGCTTTTAAAAAGTTTTTTTTTCCTGAATTGATAACTTGGAACAGCACATTTTGGGTAACTTCCATTGCCTGTGGTCACTCTTGTTTTTATTTGTAATTCTACTTCAATAATGCATATTTTCGTTTCAGCGTGTTGAAATTGAAGTCGAAGTTCTCTACCCAGTTGGACAGTGAAGAGAGGGAACACGAGGAGAAGTACTTCAATGTGAGGGAGAAGAAGGAACAGATTGAGGAGAGACTAGCAAGTACAAAGGAGATGAAAGTCAGGGCAGTCACATGCAGACAATGCTGGTAGGCGAATAGTTGTATTCTGTGTGCTCATGAGAAGTCATCATTCATTGTGGATATAAGCGCATAGAAAAACTCGACAAAACGAAGGAACTGTTGATTTCTTGATTTGAGTGTGTCAGCCACTGAAAGGAAAATCCTTTCACAAACTGAGTTTTCAAATACGTGTAAGATTGGTTTTGCACATCAACTGATCAGTTTGCTGTCTTTAAACGTTTGTTGACTGAAACATTTGTTGCTAGTGATGTGATATTTTAGATGTGTATTTGCCGTTTCTCTTTTTTGTATTTGCGAAAAACAGCGTTAATTGCGTGTTAAACTTTAGAGGTTGTTTCAGCTATGTAGCACCTAGTCTGGCTATGAAGTGCAAAGTGGAGAACCACAAACACACGTGGAGCGAAGAGACTAAGAGATTCTTCAAGTGTTCCGACTGCAAAACCCGAACAATTTCGTACCGCAAATACCCCACCCAGCCCTGCAGCAAGTGTCAGGGCAGAAGATTCGACCGGACTGCGATGATAGACCAAAGCACCTCTCTGCCTATACATAACATTGAGTATTTCAAGATCGCCGACTCGGAAGATTTCTCAAACTGCAGTAGCAGTTCGCTTACACTCTAAGAGTTGAGTAGATTCGAACTGGAAATAGAGATGATTGCCTTGAAAAAGAATGTTGTTTGCGGGCACGTATTCCGTTCATTAATAGTTACTTCATATCAAACCTGCATATGTGTTCTAATCAATGAAAATCTTTTAATTTTGCCGGTACACTCTAAAAAAAATTGAGGTAAATTCACCTTAAAAAGTACCTTAAGTTACCTTAACAGTTAAGGCCAAAAATGCTCACCTTTACCTTACCTCAAGCCACCTCAATTACTACCTTAACTCATCTCAATTTATCTTAAAACCTGTGGGGGAACTATCTGAAATTTTACCTCCAGTCACCCCAAGTTTACCTGAAAAAGTTACCTTAACTAAATAGTTAAAACTACCTTAAGCCACCTAAACTATTACCTTAATTCGTCTCAACTTAACAATCCTTCACAGCTGACAATTTAATAAACAAAGCAAGTGCTATTCTGAACACTCAGTTGTAAGCCCATAGGAGAAATTTTGTAGAACTAACTATTCTGTACAACTCATGTCAGTATTATGAAGAAACAGCCCAGCATTTAAACAGATTAACCAGAATAGAACGCAAATAAACAGAAAGCATATCAGTGAATTGAAAAAAACTCTATGGTCGTCAATTTTTGTACTGGAATTACTTATGCCAATGTAACATTCGCCCAAATACTACACAGTGACGGAGCGTAGAAAAAGTACCTACTAACGACTGGCCGGCGTCAGTTACCTAAATTCTACTCGTTTTTCACCGTCTCGGCCTAGCCAGTTGATTTTCTGGTCTGTCTAGGGCTAAGTAACAAGTTGCTATTTTCAGGCCATCAGTCAAACAACTTTTAACCAGCTTCCGTTTACATGCGAATACAACCACATAGCTGGGTCTTGGATCCTCAGACTACGTGATTGCTATTAAAACACGGCTCGAGTATCCTATTTTACTATGTTTTTTTGGTGACAGTTCTATATTAAATCCATTGGAGATGGATTGGCCCTTTCGTCTTTCTAGCTACTCATATTCTAAAATATCAAATAATACCGGTGTTAATTCAAAGGTTTATGGCATCAGAGTAGCTAAAAGTCAGTTCTTTTTAGTCCTTCACCATTTACAGTCTCTGGGGGGCCGAGCCTCCGCTTCCGTAATTTCGCTGTAATAACGTTGTTATTACTCCCAATTCGTGGCACGGGAGGGTACTGCTCTTTACTCCTTCCCCACGGAAGCCTCCTTTCCGTCTGTTGTCTCTAATTAGCTGTCTTATCGTGCGTGATCGTGCGGGCTCGGTCGGGCAACCCCGTGGAGTACAACTCCTCCACGTCCCACACTAACACCAGGTTCCCGCGTTTGGGGTACCATAACGTCTGCGCCAGGCAGTGACAAGGATACTTCCCATGGGTCATCAATATGTTCCTTCGGGTTCGGTACCCAGAAGCCCCCAGCAACGGTTCCACTTCCATCATAATCCTGTGTACGTCCTTTTCATCCATGGAGAGGAATTCGGTGGGCAACGCTCCGCTCGCCTTCTTCTTCTGGAATTCACTCACATTACCCTCACTCAACCTCATGAACTCTTCACTCACTGTCCTGCAACAATTTTACCAATTCTCAAAGCCTGATTTGACCAAACTATAGCAAAAAAAAAAATTTAATGGTTTCAATAATCAAACTTGGATCTTCTACCGACTGTCTCTTGCTATTTCAGCTGTTGTTCTGTTTTCTTCTGTTTTTCGGCTCAAAATGGCCGTTTTAGCATTTCTCAGAAATGTGACGTCATATTTCGATTTTTTGAAAGTTAAAAATTCCAGAATATTCTGACACTCCTTTTTACTAATAAATGCTCGTTAAGGCCTCTAATTCTATTCTCGTGTTGTGCCGGAAGGTTAAGCTGTGCCAATCCGGCGGAATGGCACATACTCCCCGGACAGTCCCCATCAATGTCCTCATTGATCGCATAACACCGTGTTATAGTCAAGTAGTGTTCCAGTTCTCTATAATCAACCTTACAAATCGCATTAGAAAATGAAACTTTTTTACTCCACCTCAACTCACTACGTGTCACAAATGGCATCATACTACATCTCACTGCCTTTCAACATTTTCACAAAATTTGCACCATGAGGAGTGTCCTAGATTAAATTTCTTCTCTGACCACTTACGTCATCTCGCCATAAAATTTCTTTTCGCACTCGCTTGATTAAAAATTTGGGACGTGGCACGGCCACGCACCCGTTAAAATTAACTTAATGTCACTCACCAAGTATAATCAGTTATTTATGCTGTCGTCCTCAATATTAAAACTGAAGTTCTGTGGCTAGGAAACGTAATGAGGTACTCACCCTCTTCGAGCGAGCGTACCCAAAACCTTTCAGGTCGCCACACAGTGAACACGTGCCTTACATAGGTTAAAAACTTCAGTCGGGTTTAAATAGGTAAATATACTCACCTATGCTCTCTCAAATAGCATCAACTAAAACTTTTCATTGTCATTTAACAATTGCAACAATTTTACCAATTCTCAAAGCCTGGTTTGACCAAACTATAGCAAAACAAAAAATTTAATAGTTTCAATAATCAAACTTGGTTGATTGGTATAAGTTTTAGCACACAAAGACAATCAAGTTTTTCTCCTTCTCTCTTCACTTTTCACTCTCATCTCTTGTCACCTCTTTGTCACTCCATTGCTTTTTGTTCTTCGTTCTCACTGTCTTCTAGGACTTTCTCCAGCATGTCCACGGAATTGCGGGCTGTGCCCCAACTCTCCTGCTCTAACAGCCTTGGTTTGCAACAAGATAGCAAGTCCACATTCATCTTTTGCTCCCGGTTCCTGCAAAAGCTATTGTGCAGGCACAAGCTCACATTCCATTCTAGGTCAGCTCGTCAGACCTCTCTCTTTTCGGCTTCAGTAACACAAGGCGCTCCAGCTACTCGCTTCACCGCCGTGGTAACAGCGTTCCTGTGTGTTAGGAATACTCTCTTATAGCCTCCCGGTCCTATATCTAGCTGGAAGGATTGATAGGCTTCCGTGTTCCTAGACATATGACGCTCCGCGCGTTCATACATCCATGACATCATTACTGCACGGAACCAAGGCATCAACCTTTGCCTTGACCATATCCTCTCAATGGCTATGGGTATCCTCAGAACCTTGCAGGTGGTTCTGAAAAGGTCTAAATTGTGGTTCATCTTCACGTTGCTTAGTTGCTCAGGTGTCAGCACGGCCGTCTCCTGCTCACTCGTGCCCGCGTTAGCTTCTAACAATCTCACTGCCTGCATGGCACTAATCACCACAATTGACACTGGTTTATTTTGGTCGGGCAACCCCGTGGAGTAAAACTCCTCCACGTCCCACACTAACACCAGATTCCCGCGTTTGGGGTACCATAACGTCTGCGCCAGGCAGTGACAAGGATACTTCCCATGGGTCATCAATATGTTCCTTCGGGTTCGGTACCCAGAAGCCCCCAGCAACGGTTCCACTTCCATCATAATCCTGTGCACGTCCTTTTCATCCATGGAGAGGAATTCGGTGGGCAACGCTCCGCTCGCCTTCTTCTTCTGGAATTCTTTCACATTACCCTCACTAAACCTCATGAACTCTTCACTCACTGTCCTGCAACTCGCCTTCAGATCTCTTCGGGACGGCCCAAACGATCTTCGTCAGTAAATCGTATGACCTCTCCGACATTCTGGCCAAAGTCACGCACTTTGGCACAGAAAAGAGTTGGTCGACCAACACCTGCTGTGTCCTCGCGTCCATTACCACCATGTGCTTATGGTACCTACTATTGCAATGTGGTGCAGAGCTCGAACCCACCAGATATTTCGAGCCAGTAGGTCTATGATAGGCCTCACTGTCTTTCAAATTCATCTCATTCACCAGAGCCTCTCGCCAACCTCCAATCGTTTGCTCAGTCTGCAACGCTCCAGGGAACACTTCCACACTAAGGGACGTAACTAGCCCATGGGCACGCTCTAGGCGTTCCAGCGATTCTATAGAGCTCGTCATGCTGCAAAATCCCAAGGCAGTGATCAAGTTCACTTCCGTTACTCCGTGACAGTCCGCAATCAACTCCATTCCACTTTTGTCCGACATGATCAACCTCCCATACAATTGAGCTAGTTGGCGATGCTGCTCACTCAGCGTGTTCAGACAATGGCTCGAACCACATACATGTCCATCCATTCCACTACTATAGGCTAGACAGGTGCCCTGTCTCAACCAATCACTGCATGGATTTCCCTCGGACGGTTCCGTGGATGGGTTACTCTTCTGCTTCGTTATTCTCAAGGCCAGCAGATGGTGTATCATGGCCAAATCGTGTAGATTCGCGTAATCATCCAAATCCGATGTGACATCTACCGTCATGTCCCAGATCAAACCGGCGTTTGGTTGTGGACTCCAGGAAGGCTTCATGAGCTCCCACATGGTTACTAAGCTGGTCTTCAAGGTACCGTCCCAAGAACCACAATCAAAGCTCGCTTGCCCCTTTAGCTCGGGAACGCAGGGTTCGACCAGTCGTTCCTCCAAAATGATTCCCAGCTTGGGTTGTTCAACCATCAACATGCCAGTTTTCTTGACTCGCTCGACCCAGAAATCAAGTACCACAACTTGCTCATGGTCAAAGTATGCTTCTCTGGCTTCCTCGTCCACGAAGGGATTGTACGCCATCCCTGGTATGCCTGACACATAGTGGAATGACTTAAACTTCCCCAGTGTTGCATAGTCCTTTTGTCCCCTGACTGCTTCAATTGACTCTCGGCTCACTTTCAACTCCTTGTTGGAGTATCTTCTCACTTCCTCCAACCTGCGATAGCTTTCCATGTCCTTAGATTCTTTACTTGGTATGTGCTGAGGCATGTCCTGATATAGCTCCAGGAGTGCCCTCAGGAAGTTTCGTTCACGATCAACTCCCCCTTGCCAAATGTTTTTTATGCATTCTTCCAACACAGGAGTGGGGATACGATCCACCACAACCTCACAAAGCAAATGGCATCTTTACGCATAGCCCAGGCTATCGCCGAATCGCCTCTAGAAATCAACACACGCAGGGCTTC